GTTTGGTGTGTGTGTGTGTGTGTGTGTGTGTGTGTGTGTGTGTGTGTGTATGTGCGCGCATACGTGCATTTAGTGTTTTGCATATGTGCGCCGGTGTTTGTTCACACAGAAAGCTAAGTGCACTTCTTGTGTAACATCCTGGTTTTGTACTTTGGTTTCTTGGCTCCTCTGGCCATCCCTGAGCAGAGTGACATCATTCTTAACAGGAGTGACAACACTGCCTGCATGCATAGCAAACAAAACATGCCACTCTCATTGTTAAGTCCTCCTCCCACCCCCCACCCCCGTTCCCTGCAAAGCAATTGAAAGGTTACCTGAACATGGAGAACCGCCAACCAAAAGCACAGCTATGAATAATTACCCAGTTTTGCAAGGTGACATTTATAAATGAAATCTCAATTCTGAAGGGCAAACCGGGGTCCGGTGATTAAAAAAAAAGGCACGGGCTTAAGCGGAAAGGCTAAGAAACAGAGCTCGCCATGCGCCCTCCTACACCCATGCAAAAGCAGATATTCATATTCTGCATTTCCCCCCATAGACAAGGCAATGCCATAGACGCATGTCTGTCACATCACCAAAAAAAAAAAAAAGAAATCTAACGATCTGCCTCAGTTTTTTTTTTTTTTTTTTTTTTTTCTCTCTTTCTTCACGGGCTCAGCTGTTTGCTCGTACAGTGAAGCTGGGAAATTAACAAGCCATGCATGAAGGGTACTGATTGCCGTACGCCGGCGCTCCCGGTGGTGAGGGGTACCGGCCCCGTTTCGCCCTGGGCCGCTCTCATCTTCCCGCCAGCAGCTCCTCGCCGCTCGCCTTCAGGAAGTGGCGGTCTCCGTGGAGACGGCGTCCACCGCTGCAGTGGTCCCGGGCACAGCCGAAATCTGAGGGGACTTCAGCTCGCTTTCTGAAGAGGGGCCCCAGCCGCAGCTCTCTTTTTCTCAAATCTAGATTGGGGAAAACAAGACAGATGAACTCAAATCGTGTCCCTTGTTTCCCTCCAGTGTAAGAGATGAAAGGAATCTTCTTCTCTGTCCAAAAATAAAGATACAAATTTGGTTCCCAATTTCTTGAGGGAATTCATCTTAGCCTGAGCTCGGTCCTGTCTGAAAAGGATGCCCGCTATTTGTGATGGAGAATTATTCAACAGCCTGTTCAAACTGATGGTAAAATAACTCTCTGCAGGAAAAAACTAATGTAATCCATGTGCAACCTATTAAAAAAACCACTTCTTTAAATTAGGGCCGTGGAGATGAGATGATTAATTGGTCAGATCAATCAAATAAACTTTTACTGGCGTCTAAACATTTAGTTCGAACCACTGTTAACCCTGGGGTTGGGTATGTTCTAATAAACAATACTGGGACTATGGTAGTGAGTTTTTTTTTAAACCCACTAAATATTGCATTCAGATGGCTACCAGCTTATATTGGCCACTGTCAATCAGTAGCCAGTTTACAGCAGACTACAGCAAACTTAAAGCACTCCACATAACAAGCTACTGTTAGCTATGATTTCACAGATATTCGACAATTAGCTAGCTACCTGGGTAAGTTTTGAATCCCACTGCTAAATTAATGGGAGAAATTAAAGGAAAAAGACTGCTTCATTACAATACCTCTGTGTTAGCTAATAAAACTGTCTTGATGTATTGTTGTAGCAGGCTAGTGGGCGGTGTCGTTTACATGCAAAGTGTCCTTTTACAAAGGGTAATCAAGATGCAGGAACAGGAAGGGGATGCTTACACAGCAGACAGTGCTGCTTTATGACACATAAGCAATGTTAAAAATCGACAATAAACGGACTCCTATAGATGTGACAAGTTGGACCTAAGTAATTACAGGTGACACAAAAATGGCTGCTCCCATGCATTTGGATGATTGATAAATAAGGTGTACACACATGCTATGTGTTGTGTGTGAGAACGATTTTAGTAGTAGTTGTAAGCACATGTTTATGAATGAGGCGCTAGGTGAGCATGCAGACTTATTTTATCTTGCTTTATGCTGTGTTTGGAATTTGCCTCATAACCTCTCAATGCAGTGAAGTAAACAGGTTCTCGGGATCAAGTACTGCAGTATCTTATGCAAAAGATTCCATTGCATTGATAGTGTTTTTATTGCCAGAGGATGTATTTCCTCTCTGTAATATGCAGTCTAGTTCCCCTCTTGAAACTGTAAAGCATTTCATTAATAGCTAGCTTGCATGTTACAGTACCACAGGAGACCCTAGTTATTGGTGTGGGATGCATGCTGGAGATTCCTGCAAATGGGGAAATCAGATACTGTGCTGTACCAATAAGAAGGACTAATATGGAAGTGGGGATCTGTCCCCAGCACAAAACCACATTTTACAAAATCAAAACAGTGCAATAAACAAGTGATTCATATGCATATTCATGTAATAGTGCAATAAACGGTGCACTAAACATGCATTCAGTAGAAGCATTAGGAGGGGTTAGGAATAATACTTCAGTTTAATTTTTCTCCCATATTTTTTTTGGTGTTTTGGCTTGTTCACCGCAAAATGTTTTAAAAGCAAGAAGCCGGTGACCATGCTTTTGGTACAGGTGACGGATTTAAAATCCCTGAATTAAAAAAAAAAAAAAAAAAAAAAACATGTTTGGTCTTCCGTCAGTAAGACATTTCTATCTAGTTCTATTTTCTGACTTGAACGTTTACATTAGCTCCCACTCACATTGTTACTGGTGTGGTTTTAATGCAGGGGGGAATCTGCTCCCCTACAGTTTCCACTGATGTTAACCTCATGCCGTCATTAGTTTGTTTGGATGCAGTGGCGTGATTCTGTGCAGCTGATAGATGCGTTTTGGTGCTAATTTTCCTCCTTTGCTAGCAGAGCTCTGCTGTGCATATTATGCTACATTCAGTCAGCATGCCTCAAATGGGGTCAACAGCGAGGTGTAATGAGGTCACAGAACACTCCCCTCGCCAGCCGCCTTCTAATTGCCTGCTCGTAATTATTTTTCCGAACGTGCCAGAGAATCTTCTGCGGCGTTCAGGTATGGGAACCGGGAGCCGCTAATTTAATGGCCGGCACGCAGTTCCATACGATCTCGTGTGTGACTTAGCATCGTAAGCGTAGTTTTCCCTGTGTGCGAGGCCGACCGCGACGAATTCTCACACCGCTAATCTCATTAACGAGGACAGTCTTTGTGTTGCCCACTTCTGAGTTCGAACCCTGAAACAGAACTGGAAAAAGACTGCATCATGTCGCATCACAGGGTTTTGTGATGGAGGAGGAGCTGGAGGGCTGGTCACCGACCCTGCCTTGCTGAAGAAAGTCGTCTTCTGCCCTGTTTGGTGTGCATTGTCCTCTTTCTTGTTGTCAGCTAACCCCCCCCCTACTCCCCAAGATGATTTTCAAAATTGAATTCTGGCTGGTAGTCTGTCTGCAGAGACCATTATGCTTTCCCCAGTAACAGTTTAGCTACAAAGTGTGGAATTGGCAAGCTGAAGTTTCATTGCGTGAAAAATCCCTTTTGCCAGTTTGCGGTTTCCCTGCAGTTTGAGTGGTGGAGCCTGGTTTTTGGATCTCTTCCCCCTCTGCCCACCCCCTCCCTCCCCTCCCCCACAGGGTGGCCATCTGTCGCCGGGCATGTTTCCCATCCCGGGATCCACCTCCCCCTTTGTTTCTGTGTCCTGGCTCTCGTTGGTTTGTTCCGTGTCTGCTTGTTTTTGATTATGTCGGAAGGGGGCCCAGCGTAAAGCAATCGATTCCACAGACAGAAAACAATCGAGGCGCGAGGGGAGGGGGGGGCGGGGGCACGGAGTTGTGGATTTAATTGGTTGCCTGGCAATTGAGAGTACATCATTCTTGATACACCGGCAGCTGCATATAGTCCAGCAGGAATATCCCTGTAAAAAATACAAACAGAGGATGTTTGCCTTTGATTTGCAGTGCATGTCTGGCTGCTTTGTGTTTTCAATTAGTGTGTAAAACATGTGGGTTTTTCACCGCGCAATGCATCACAACAATTACCCGCGGACAGGCGGCGTGCACTCTTGACTGCACGCTCCCAGCAAGCCAGTGCTGCCTCTGCGGCTCAGAGAACGTGCGTCGCAGTTGGGCAGAAACTTTCCGAAACGGTGAAATACAGATGATTAACGTGTCTGCGAGAAGGCAATTTTTGGTTCTCCACTCTGGATCGAGCAACGACTGTAAGAATGTGATGTCGGCTTCGCAGAAGTGTTAAACTTCCTTAACACCCGAATCTCTGATTGCAGATCACCTGAAGCGCAAGGCGAGGCGGCGGCCGTCTTGGGGGCGGGGCATTATCCGGAAGAAGAAGAGCTACGGGAAGAAAGAGGAGGCAGAGGGGGAGGATCCGGATGAGGGGGCGGGGCCTGACGATGGCGGGGAGGAGTCCAACGCCGCGGGCCCCAGCGACTCCGCCCTCACCCAGGACGAGGACTCCTGCGACACAATGGACCCGCCTCCGGCCCAGAACGGGTCAGAGCACAACGGCCACACGCTGTCCACGGAGGAGGAGAACTCCAACGAGCCACCCGCGCCCGTGCCCCCCGCCCAGTCCCGGCCTGAGGAGGAGGAGGCGGCGACGGCGCCCCCCGACCCCCGGCCGCAGGACTGCATGAACGGGGACGAGTCCCTGGACAGCCTGGACAGCGAGGCCAACAGGAAGGTGCTGGGGGAGGGGGCCGCCGGGGCGCCGTCTGCACCTCAGGAAGCTGCCGTCTCCGACGAGGGGGACGGGGAGGAACGGCAGGGAAAAGACAACCCCCAGCTCCCAGCGGGACCGTCCGAGGAAGGCGAGGGGGACCCCAGCAAAGAAGGTATGGGACTAATTTACAGAACAGTACACTGTATGCAATTAGCAGACACTCTTACATTACATTGCATTACAGGCGTTCAGCAGATGCTGTTACACAGAGAGACTTACATAGGTTACAGTTTTAACAACGTTATCCATTTATACAGCTGGATATGTAAATGTAGGTTAAGTACCCTTCCCAAGGGTACCACAGCAGTGCACCAGCGGGAGTCGAACCCGCAACCTTTCGGTTACAAGCCCTGCTCCATAACCACTATGGGACACTGCTGCCACTCTTATCCAGAGTGACTTCAAGCATCGTAGAACATAAGTGTATCCTTTTAAGTTAAATGAGCAGCAGTGTCAGACCAGTCTAACAACATGCGCAGACCAGTGAGAGTGAACATAACACCATTCAAGCCCTACCACAAGTTAACTTGTGCTCGCGACCCAAAGGTGTTTCAGTTCTCTGTTGGGGCGCTTCTGTTTTACCCTTAATCCTTACATTACATTGTTTTCATTTACCAGATGCTCTTATCTGGAGTGACTTACATAGGTTACAGTTTTAACATGTTATCCATTTATACAGCTGGATATTTCCTGAGGCAGTTCTGGTTTAGGTATCTTGACCAGGGGTACAGCAGCATTTCCCCGGTGGGGAATCGAACCAGCAGCCTTTCAGTTATGAGCCCTGGTCCTTACCACTATGCTACACTGCTCCCTGATCAAGGCTCTTATCCTGAAATGCTGCACTAAATATCCAGCTGTATTAAAGGAGAAATAAACCTGTGAGACACAAAGTTTGAGTCTAGTCTGTGTCATTAGCCAGCAGTAGCTGGGAGTCTGCAGCAGCAGGACGTAATTGGCTCTGTTCCGCCGTGGTTAGCGTCGGGAGTTAACGTGGGCTACATTAGCCGCACCGCTCAATGCCACCCTACAGGGACTTATCAGGTGCTCCTGGGGCTCTCAGGTGACGTCAGTGACAGATGCGCCCGTCCTCCGCCCTGCATTCGCTCTCCTGCGGTGCATCGTGGGATTTCTGGTGTGAGAAAGTCATTGGTTGCGTGCGAGTGTAACGGAGGATTATATTGGCCGTGCTTCACCGCCCCTTACAAAGTGCAAGATGTTGTAGCGAGGCAGGCTTAATGTACAAATTCCCATTCCAGAGCCGGGGATAAAAGGGAAACAAGCATAGCTTAGCTGTGAACCTGCAAGCTATTGAAGATACTCTGGCTAATTAAAGCTGCTGTCTCACCGGTTCTCACTCGATGACTCATTCCGTCCACATCGACACACATGAATCCAGCTGAGAGGTCACTGGCATCTAGGTTTCACCTTTTCACCTGAACACAAGGGAACTAGAGGGGAATGCGTGTGCATAAAAATCCTGAAACTCGGAAAATGGTTTGCAGCACCCAATAGCCAAATTCTTTTCCTCCACCTGCTCTTTTTTGGAAACTCTGTGCAAACAGTTACACCGTATTACATAGTTCACAATGTGTTTCTAAGGACAGTTCATTTAGAGTTTTATGGGAACTTGCTATTTATGGCACTGTAGCATGCGTTGACATGCACGTGAGGTTGCCACACCTAGCTGTCTTCCTACCTTTAGAATTTCTCGAATTGCAATTGGCATATATGGATCACAGTTACAAATGGTGTCCTCATGGAGCCCTAGTCTGGGGACCATGAAATGCACAACTTACTTGTAGGGCCATACTCCCTAACACTGGCACGGTACATTTAGATACAAAGCAATAATCCGCTGATACGTGATCCTTACATAAATACAGAATAAAATTGATATTTGATTATACTGTCGCTCCCCAGATTAAGTTTTCAAGTAGTCATACCCTGTGTGAAGCTCCCTGTATGAAGTTCATTTTGAGTAAATAATGACTCAGTGCAAAGAGGTTTGCGTTCACTCACTCTCTGGCAGGAGCATTAATGATAGCAGTGAAATATTTATAATTTCTTACAGGCTTATTGGGCCCCCATTGCCTTTTTTTTTTGAAGATGGGTGGAGGGGGGGTGGAATTTATTGAAAGTGTACTGCAGGAGACATGGTACCGCTTGTAAGAGAGGGGTGTTTTATTTCTGATGACAACTGGTGGCCTAAAAGCACCTGGCGAGTCGCATGGATATTGGAATAAGGCAGTAGCTGAAGGAAGATAGTCATAGTTAAGCTCATCCTGCCTCCTGCAAAGCACGATCATGCCAGTTCTGCCCGGCTGCAGCAAACTCCTGATCGCAGTCAAGACATGACATATCCCAGGATGCAGTTCAGCAGGAAATGACATGCCCCAGACTGCAGTTAGTAGCGTCAGGGCTGTGCTTGGACCCAGCTCCTGTCCCCAGTCACTCACTCAGTAGGCCTCTAGGCCCTCATTATTGTATACAGATGAGAAAGAATACAAGTCTTTGTTTCTACAGCGTTCAAATTCTGGTACAAGTAATAGATTAATGATCTCATGGTTGAACGTTATAAGCTTGTGTCTCATCCCTAATGCAGTTCAGACTGAAATCCTTTTGAGGCTCAGTAATAATTTCTTTCAGATCTACCTTAAGGACGCCTCTCTCCAGCCAATTGCAACAATGTGACAGATTAGATTAAGTCCCCATTTTTCAGTTGTACAGAGGAGAGTTTGTCCAAATTAACTGTTAGGTTTTGTGTCTGCATCATTTGCCTAATAGGTACATTTGATTAAGAGAAAGGAAGCAGTGCTCATGCATGTGCTGCTCTTATGTGATTAAAGTGAATACTTTGCAGATGTGGCACACAGCACAGGAGAGTGCCTGTTTCCTAGCATGGACTATAGATGATATGTGAAGAGCTTGGCTACCTATCTAAGAGTAAGCACTGTTGAAGACACATTGGGTGTGGTAACTTACTCAGGATAAACCTGGGGACTTTCTTGTGCTCCGCATCACCCCATCGTCATCTCTGGGGTTGGATAACACACTATAGGCCTGGGTCCTTTCCCTGTGGAGACCCCCTTGACTCTCCTCAGCTGTAGCTGACTTAAACCTGATTCAGGTTAGAGGAAACAAAGCTTTTTTTCTCCCACCATAGCGAACGAGTACTGCTGCAATGGAGATCAAATAAATTTCTGCTCTTGTACAAGGAATGCACATCACCCTGTTAAGACGGTGGAAGTACTCTCCCTCTTCTCCGTGTGACATCCCCCCCCAGCCACATATAGATGTGTTTTTCTCTGGCTGCCCTTTGCTCTGGAGCATTTGCCATTCATTTATCCGCTCCGCGCCATCTGCGCCCAGCCTATAGGCATGGGCTGCACTTGATTTATGACGGCATGCCCGGAATTATAAAGGAGCCAGCTGAAAACCCCTCACTGGCAGCAGTAGCCTGCCGCTCTCCTGCGCGGCTTCAGCCCCCGCCATCGAGTAAATAACGGCCAACGGAAAACATCCTGCGCGCGGCATCATCATCTGTTTCCACCGGCCCGGCGCTCCAGCCCCCCCTCCCGCCCTGCGGGCACGCTAATGAGTCACCGCGGGGGTGACGCTTTCTGACCGCCGCTGCCCTTTTCTGATGCAGGGGGAAAAGGGTTTAAAATGTCTGCAATATCCAGCGAGCCTCGGTGTGAAGAAGCGTGTGGATGATGCTGTGTGTGTTTTTGTTATACCTCACCCCCTCCCTCTCCCCGCCCTCTCTGTCCTGTACGGCAGGTGTGTCCAAAATGAAGAGGTGTAAGAAGCCTCTTCCGGAGCAGCTGAAGGCAGCGCCAGCCGAGGACTCCCCCCAGCCGCCCCCCCCTCTTGTGGTGGACTACGAGCGCTTGAAGGTGAGGCATTTGACACACACACACTCACACACACACACACACGGCGGGTGCATACTGCAGTTTATAAGAGAGCCCAGGAAGGCGGAGTCACCTCACTGGCCCTCGGCTGCAGGCACATCCTGGGCAGGCAGGAGGTGACTCACTGGCCCCCGCTTTCTCCATTCAGTTCCCCAACACCGGCATGCTGCTGTTAACCTTGTGGAAAAAGCAATGGGCTTTGTCTCAGAAAGAACAGGTAATTGCTAGTAGTTTTATTAAGTACTTTGTATTATTCCTCCATGTTAAAAATCATTAATACTACACTTCATAAAAAAAGGTTGAAGGACATTTGTAATTGTAAGCCCACCTTTCCAGACATTTAGCATTGTGTGATGTTCAGATATGGTCTAGCAGAGTAGTTCAGGCCCCAATACACGGTATAGTGGAAGAGTCCTGGTCACTCAGTAATATGAACTGTAAAAGAAAAGAATGTGAAAATTGCTTTAGCTCATATGAATGGACATGGAGCAACAATGACAGCTATCGCGGGGTAATTTTTTACACTCCAGTGATGAAGTGTGTTTCACCAGCTGCTGCTGTTTTTAAAGAAACCGTGCCGCTGTTGTGACAGAGATGGAGAAGTCGAACAACTGATGGCTGAACTGATTGATAGCTGTTCTGGGCTATAAAACGTTCTCCGGTGCGGCCGCTAATGAACAGCGCACTGTTATTGTTAGGGTTTACAGTTACTGTTATCGATCTTAGTGCCTTACCCCCGTAAAATGAGAAAGTTCTTTTACTACAGAGCAGATCCATCTCGCTGGCCACCTTCCTGCTACCCCTTGTGATTATTAACTTCATGCAGTTTTACATACACTCCTTCAAATATGCTCTTTTTGGAGGCATTGTTGCTCTAACAAATTTAAGCCGTAGGAAGCAGAAATTTGCTGATTTAACGTCACGGGAGAAAGGAAATCTTCTAATTATTGAAATAGAACAATTGAAGCGAGGAGAATGTTAATCGGGGAATAGATTGCATCACTGATCCCCTACAGGATTTGGGTGCAGGGATAGATAGAACATCTATTGTTTTCCACATAATGCCTTTGATTTTTCCACTGAACTCTGTACAAATTGGCGCGGGCGCAGAAAAATTAGAACGGTGATGATCGGAGTCGACTTGTTTCAGAATAATCCACGAAACTGGAAATCTCACAGCTTCTTCTCATTCCAGACCATTAAGAATGTTATTCAGAAACGGCTCCAGTTAATATGTCTGTAATCTCCTGAGCGCGGCAATGCTGGCTTCTGAATGTGGGATAACCTATTGTGAATTAATGATGGATTACAAGCCAACCAAAATGGCTGAAGTCTTCAAAGCATTGGCGGGAGCTGTTAATTAGTCCGTACTTTTCCGCCCGTACCCTGCCTTTCCTGTATCACTGTGCTGGTGGAAATGCCAAAAGGGTGCTACCTTTAAGGGATTCGCGGTGATTGTGAATGACA